CTGAAGAAAAGAATTGCTTTTGGTTGAACATAAATAAAGCATAATGTTAATTTAATAGGGAATATGGAAGCTTTCCTGTTCAAGATCAAGGTTAGCACAGGCAAAGTCAAAACAGATCTCTTGATCCATGAAAATCTTTTTCAGTGTGTTGCATTAGCCGAAGGAATGGAAGGGGGAGTGTACGGAGGCTTTAAAGAGAAAAGTAGCCTCATATACATGCAGCCAGTGTAGGCTAAGGATTGAGTCGAGATATAATGAGTAGCACTGAAAAAGAAAGGGTCTGCATTTCAAAGCTACGGAAGTGTCTAGATCTACTAGACTTTTACTAGTATCACTGGGGAAAGAAAGGCTGGAAACTTGAACCTCCATCCCCACTGCAGGACAGAGATCCATGCCTCTGGCCCAGCCGCAGTACTCCCAACAGGCATGCCTAGACAGCTAGCACGGTGGGTGATATTCCTCTTCCAGCTTTTCTCAGTAATACCTTCTGTTGCTCCCGCAGGTTGCAAGAATGTCCATTATGACCTTGTCTTCCTCCTGGATGCCTCTTCCAGCGTGGGCAAAGAAGATTTTGAGAAGGTCCGCCAGTGGGTGTCAAACCTGGTGGAGACTTTTGAGATTGGACAAGATAAGACCCGTGTGGGAGTGGTCCGGTACAGTGATCGGCCAACCACAGAATTTGACCTAGGAAGGTACCAAACTCGTGAGGAAATCAAAGCAGCTGCAAAGAACATTAAATATGATGGGGGCAATACAAACACTGGGGATGCCCTCCGGTACATTAACACCTATAGCTTTTCCAAAGAGGCTGGGGGGAGGCCTAGTGACCGGGCCATTAAGAAAGTGGCCATCCTTCTGACTGATGGGAGGAGCCAGGATTATGTCTTGAACCCAGCCACTGCAGCACACAAGGCTGGGATTCGAATTTTTGCGGTAGGAGTGGGTGAAGCTTTGAAGGAGGAACTGGATGAAATTGCTTCTGAGCCCAAGTCTGCTCATGTGTTCCACGTCTCCGATTACAATGCCATTGATAAAATACGAGGGAAACTGAGAAGACGTCTCTGTGAAAGTAAGTGGTGGTGGTCTTAACTGTAATGGGGGAAAAAAAGACTTAAAATGGGGATAATTGTGAAGCTGTGACATCCTTTCTTACTCCTTACCCTTCCTTATTGACTCTTATTCCCTTATAATTCTATCCTCTCTTCTATCCACTATTCCCTAGAATTTTCCATTCAACGGGTGGTCGCAGAAGTGCTTTCTTCTGAGTTTAAGAGCCAAGACAACATTGCAGAAGGGTCCGTTTCCAGTAGAAAACTGGAGAGAAAGAGAGAGGAGAGATTCATTTTTATTTTGATATGGTTTTATAAGTATCATATGTTACAGTTCGCTGGAAACTCTGATCTCACCAAACCCTACATGCAGTCTAATCTTGTACAGACCCGAAGCTTGATGCCTTGTCCTGTGCAGCCTGTATGGGGGTGAGGCCTGCAAACCATGTTGGAAGCTGCATGAGCTCCTTGATTCCTCTACAGCCAGAATGTGCTTTGACCTGCTAATTGACCTCCAAAGCTGGGGTACTCTGTGAGCTCTGGGTGCAAATTGAGATGTTCTTCTCTGCCTGTGCTGGGGTTCGCAGACTATTGTATGTCATTTTTACTCTAGGCAATGGAGACTTCATGTGGAGATCTCTAGAGGGATGGTATTCTCCTGTCATTGGTATCCCAGAAACTTAGCTGGAACATCTGGGCATTTATACATGTGCTCCAGGAGTTGTTGGTGTGGGGGGGTGGGGGGAGCATAGATTCATAGATACTAGGGCTGGAAAGGACCTCAACAGATCATCAAGTCTGACCCTCTGCTTGGGCAGGAAAGAATGCTATCCAACCTCCTCTTAAAGACCCCCAAGATGCCTATCCAACCTCCTCTTAAAGACCACCAAGGTAGGAGACAGCGCCACCTCCCTTGGAAACCCCTTCCAAGTTTTGGCCGCCCTCACCATGAAGAAGTTTTTCCTGAAGCACTTTTATTAGTGTGGCTCTAAGAGCTACTCTAATTACAGTCCAAAGAGTATCTTGTGTATGAGCATCCCTGTACTTAAAAAATGGTGGTGGGGATGCTTTTATCAAATGAGCTTTAGATAAAGCGCCCTTGCTGCCATTTCGGAGCATGGGGTTGCTTACACATGGGACACAGGAGGCTGCTGGAGTGTGGTAATTACCATGCTCCAGCAAACTCAATCAAGTCTGCTCTAACTTGCTCAAATTCCAGCGTGACAGAGCAGCCTCCATGCTCATGTATAGGTGCCCTCAGCCACCACCCAGTGCTGAAAGGGTTTCTGGCTATGGGAGCTTTGTGGTCTTTATTATCCTTGAGGAGGTTAAGGTTGCTCTGTAGCCTGATGACATTGCCCTGCATCCTGGGGTTGAATACACTAAAGCTGATGAGTCTTTGTGTCATACCTTGACCTGGGCCTCAGTGAAGATGCTCAGGCAGTCACACTGGGCAGGTAAGTCACTTTATGGTGACTATGTAGCATCCTATTGGACTGACTTGAGCGTGAAGTGTGCATCATGGCATAAATGTGCATTATGGCATTCATTTATTTGCTTCTGTGATTTCATATTATAAGGAAAATAATGCATTCACCCATTGCTTTGGGCACTTGTGTGCTTTTATGCATAGAGTGACTAGGCCTGGAGGCACAAGCATTGTGATGTTGCATAATAGCATCAAGATGTGACTTCTTCCCTCAGCTCAAATGAAAATTGGCAGGGACATTAACTGTGTCATGAAAGGGAGTCAGGCTGATTATTAGCTTGATGTAATGCAGATCCATAGGGTTAGTCCTTTTTTACAGTAAAATCCTCTGGTCTTATGCATTTGAGGTCAGAGTGGGCTGGGAAGAATTGTGCTGTATGTTATATCTTATAAGTGCATCTATACATTTTGATGGATCCAGCATGGCTTGACAATCTGCTGAACTGTGTGCCTATTATTAGGAAAACATCTTCTTCCAATTAATAATGTATTGCAGTACATATTGCCATCTGGGGCTCCGAGTTTCTCTCATCCTCTCAAAAAGCAATTTGTCCATTTTACCAGATGTAACATTCTCTGCATATGGCATTTTGATCGTGGATTAGGGCCATAGTTTATGCATCCTTCTTAAGTTAGATCCTAAGGATTATCAAAGGCATATTGTTTTTCATTCTGAGAGCTATGATTGACACTATTCAAGCTGTCTACCACCTGCTGACGGGGTGGCTTATGTGGGTAGGAGCGAAGCAACTTGGAGGGTGGGTGGAGAGGAAGAGCTTAGGTGTGTTGGGTATTGGGGACGCTCATGGGGAAGTGATAAAATACTGAACTAGTGAGTTGGTGCCTGTGCAAGAACCACGAATCCTAGAAAGCTGATAAAGGTCATTAGGAAGGCTGGATGGGACAGTTTTTAAACAAGCAGGCAGTGGAAAACATGCAGCTTTTGGATAAATGCTATGGTTGGATGACTAGGTGAACATCATGTGACTAGGTGACTAGGGAGGCGGTAGTCATAGGGGACCTAAACTACCCAGACATCTGCTGGGAGACACAGACAGCAAAGTCCCACCATTCACGCAGGTTCCTATCCTGTGTACAGGACCTCCACCTGACGCAGGAGGTACATGGTCCCACTAGGGGGAATGCCTTACTGGACCTGGTATTGGCTACGGGGGATGACATGGTAGGAGACCTACATATCGGTGGTCACCTGGGGGACAGTGATCACCAAATAATAGAATTCTTCATAAGATGTCGAGTGGGTAAGGTAACTAGTAGGGTGAAAGTGCTAAACTTTAGGAAAGCTGATTTCAATGAACTCAGGCGATTAGTCAAGGACGCACTGCAGAGTAAGAGTTTTGAAGAGATGGGAGTCCAGGAAGGGTGGCTGTGCCTTAAGGAAATGATCCTTCGGGCACAGAGGGAGACGATCCTGATGCGGGGAAAAAGGGGGAAAGGGGCCAAGAGGCTTCCTTG